CCAGGTTTTGCACTTTTTTTATTGAATTTTGGCAGTTGTTTATATTTTAGGAAATGTTGAGATATTTACGCTATGCATAACCCAATTCAAATTACGCTTTAAATAGCAAATCAATATTTTTGTCTATTAAATGAAAATAGTACATGTATCAATAAAAAAATTATAACAAAAATTGTTTATATTACATAGTAGAACACTGATGTAACCTTTATTTTGAAAATAGTAATCGAATATCACAGTAATCGGCAAAGTGTTAAGGTCTATGAAGCATAAATCTATCATAAAATAATCTAAAGTTGCCATAAATCCTAAACCAGTAAACCAATCAAACTGAAAATTTATCCAGAGTTTGGTGTGGCTATATGCTATTTTATAAAGTGGTTCTCATTCTATAGGTGTTTTTATTTTCGCACTATAAAGTCAAATTTTCAATTAATTTAAAAGTTTAAATAAAATTATTTTCCACGGACAAAATTAAAAGGTTTCAAAATTTGCATCTTAAGTTACTTTGAAGTGTACGCTATCACCCCGTATAGATGGCGTTCTTTGGTCAGCTAGGTTAGCATTATCAGGATCCGTGCTAACCGTGTGTTAGATTTTGTTTCAATTAGCGATTGCAATTCCACAGAGTGGGAAATTTTTCCTGGAATCGCGTTATTTCAGTGCATACAATATCCCGCGTTAATAAATGCGACACCCAGGTAATTTGCGAGTCTAAGTGCAATTTATTTCCACAAAAAAGATATAACAGAAATCAAATTTAAGATTTAATAACGAATAGAGCTTTTCATTAAACACTCCCTGAAAACGAGGCAATGTTTGTAAATATGAAGTTATATATATATATATATATATATATATATATATATATATATATATATATATATATATATATACATATATATATATATATATGTATATATATATATATATATATATATATATATATATATATATATATATATATATATATATATATATATATATATATGTGTGTGTGTGTGTGTGCGTGTGTGTGTGCGTGTGTGTGTGTGTGTGTGTGTGTGTGTGTGTGTGTGTGTGTGTGTGTGTGTGTGTGTGTGTGTGTGTGTGTGTGTGGTTGTGTGTACATAAAGAGAGAAAAAAATGCGGAGATGCGAAAATTTGATTCATTTGACTTTGAGAAATTATTTAAGAAGTGTTTGCTTATGAAAAAAAAACGGAGTAAGAAGCAAGTTTCTAAGTATAACTACTTGATAACTATGTTGCTAAGAGCGAGCTTTTTTTGCTGGTTATATGTGCAGTCCTTTGAAAAGCAGATTGGGAAATGATACTTAGAGTTGTGTCTGTTTATTAAGATCGCATTTCTTGCAATGATTCTCTCACTTTAGATATTTAAAACAATAAGTTACTTTTATATTTTTGTTATTTTTCTTTCGTCGCTTTATTTATTAAAGTTCCGAATGGTATTGATTTCTATATTAATTTGTTTATTTTTATTTACATCACATTAACACATTTTTTTTAAACTATCAATTTTTGACCTTATTTATCCTAAAATTTATTGAAACCTATGTACAATTATTATTTTTTAAATCTATAATATTTATAAGACATAAAACTCAACCAATCCCACGCGGGATTCTGCAGGAATTTAAAAATCATGCGCGGATCCAGCGGGTTGAAAAGTGTGGAATTTAGAGTGAATTGAAATTTGTGATTGCAATCCCTAATTTCAATTCACTATAAACAATCTCTTATTTCACCCACAATTAACATTTGTTTTATCATCAACAAATTAAGATATACTTAATGAGAATGATAGGCATTGCGTTAAGATTTTAAAGTAATGTGATACCAAACTTTATAATATAAACTATATATATATATATATATATATATATATATATATATATATATAATATATATATATATATATATATATATATATATATATATATATATATATATATATATATATATATATATATATATATATATAATTCAACAAGTTTATGGCTTCAACAAATGAGCAGTTAAGGCTTCACTGTAAGTTACAAAACTACGGAATTAACACATTATTTACAATTTCAGTCTTATCTGAAATTGTAAATAATGTGTTACGTATGACTAAAAGGCACGCAGCTAGAAGTTATTAGGTGTGTTGTACCTAAATTACACATTACTCATATAAATATAATAGATCATATTGAAGTATATTTTGAATGTGTTTAAAAAGCTTCCGTCAACATCACTTAAAGGTAAGACTACTCAATTACCTGTCGGGGTCACACGTCTGCGGAACTCGATGCTGATATAATAATGTAAAAAATATAACAATAACTAAAATATTTCAAAGAGTAATGAAACAACATATATTAAATCTAACCAATCGAATAACTAATTTTATACTTATATATTTTTTTTAACTAAAACATGTAAATTTTTTATAAAAGATGAAATTAGAATAAAGAAAATTATTTTTCGAGAAAGAAGCAAGATGATAAGAGATATTGTCTTCAACTCCTGTCAGAATTTAGGAAATTTGTAAAACTATTTGTTCCAAGAAAAAGCAGCATCATAATAGTTAAGGTCATATTAAATCTGTTATCCCGGAAAGTTTTTGAAATAAGACTTTAAATAAGACCTTTGCAAAGATTTTGAAATAAGAATACATCACGAATCAATGATTGATTCTGCTTTTTTAATGAAATCCTACTAAAAATTAAAAGCCAGTCTAAAACAAATTTTACATTGTTTACAATGAAAAACTTATTTTACAATGTTCTTAGCAAAACAAAATTTATCATTCAGGGTCGATCAGAGAAGATATTATTAGGAAATAAAATTTTCAAAAAATGATTTTGCGTATAACCCAGTGGTAGGTCGATAAATTGCTAAGATCAAAGCAATACGTACTACCAATCAACCCATCGTGCCACATTTCTTTCCTGCAACTGCAGAATGAGTAGCTGAGCTTGATGATCACATAAAGATATCTGGATGACATCTTTATGTGAAGGTAAAATATTATGTTTGATAGCACATATCCGATATATATATATATATATATATATATATATATATATATATATATATATATATATATATATATATATATATACATAAATATATATATATATATATATATATATATATATATATATATATATATATACATTATATATATATATATATATATATATATATATATATATATATATATATATATATATATATATATATATATATATATATATATATATATATATATATATATATATATATATATATATATAACGGATGACAACTAAAAAGTGAGAATAGTTCTAACCTTCTAAAATCAAACCGCAAAAGTCAAAAAAAGAAAAGTACTCCTATGTGAAACTATACTCTCTCTGTTTACAAACTTATCATATGTTTTGTTTTGCATCAGATAATTCAGTAGTGTTTAAAATACCGTCAAAACAAAATGTACTACGCGAGTGCATTGTACAGTTCTATCAAATGCACGAAAATCTCGGGAAAAAGTTTGCGGCGAATCATTTTGAAACCGAAAATGTTCCAGTTTCAACTATTTACCGTATTTTGGCATCCTTAACAATCAATCGTAAAAGTGGTAGCGGAGGACCAGATAAAATAATGAACAAGAAGGGATTTCGTTTGCTTCACGGTGCTTTCAACAACAATGATTCGTTAAGTCAACGAGATGCTGCAGAAAGACTCAAAATGTTGCAGAAAAGTTCAAGTTCAAAACTTCAGAAAAGTAAATAAGCCGCCTTATATCTGCAAATCGTTAAAAAAAGGGAAATAGTCCGCCGAAAACAAAGGACACCAAAATACACTGAGCAACAAATACCAACCGTGAAATCTCAATGCCGCTGAATGACCCGAAATTACTCTCAAAAATGTTTTGGTTTGGATGACGAAAGTTTCCAAACCAAAATTTCCCCCGAAATTTCCCCCTTTCCAAAACGCAAGTTCCATGAAATGATCTATATTATGCAGATAAAGTTCTACAACACCTACAAAAGTAAAATACAAATAAAAACACAAGTTTGAGCAGAAAGTGATGCTGTACATTGCCATATCTGAGAGGGGATTTTCTAAGCTATTGTTTAAGCCAAGTGGTTTGGCTTTAGCAAAAAACTGCAATTCGACAAACTTGCCTCAGTGTCGCCCTATTAAAGATTTCTTTGGATATTTGAGTTGGTTAGTATACAAAAACAACTGGAGAGCTAAGAACTGCAAACAATTGATTACCTGAATCAAAAGATGTATTCGTCAAATTGATATAAATGCTGTGAAATGCTTCTGTTCAAACATAGTGACAAAACTAAGTTGAACTGCTGATGATGAACCATATTTGAAAGTTCATTAATTTTTTCTTAAAGATAACATGTACCTTCAAATAAAATAAATATAATTTTCATTTTTTAAACTTTTGTTTTTATTATAGCCCGATATGAAAATTCTCATTTTTTATCTATCGCAATACTATCAACATTCCTATATTAACGGATAGTAACCTTCTCACTGAGTCCTCTTCTTTACGTCTTCTTGGATTATCGTTTACTACTGACCTTTCATTGAATGTTTTTTTTTATCGTACTCGCTATTTTCTTACTCATGATTTCATTCTGTACTTCTACAATTCTCTTATTCGTCTTTGTATGGAATGCTGTTGTCATATTTGTGCTGGTTCATCTAATGACACTCTTTCTCTTCAAGACAAGGTTCAAAAATCCTTGTAAGCATAATTGGATAACATATATATATATATATATATATATATATATATATATATATATATATATATATATATATATATATATATATATATATATATATATAATATATATATATATATATATATATATATTTCATTTTTTTCCCCGAGCGCTATCTCTCGCAACGCCTCCGACCGCTTGTCTTACTTTATGAAATATAAATATCTTATAATTTATATTTGACTAAAGATTAAAACAAATTATTAATTAAATTTCAAATTTTTAAGCACGACATAATATTACAAATAAATATTTACAATAAATAAACAATTGAATCTCATTAACAATTACATTTTTTTGACACTGTGAAATTGTTATTGAAATAACAAAACATTTACTTTTTGCATATTTTTGGAATTTGAAAGAATGTATCATTCGAGTAACTTGGAACTATGCTTATTGATGTCCATGAAGTAATCATAATTTGCCTTGCAAGCTCACTTCCATAAAATTGAGTTTTGAAATAAATTGGTTCTAACGTTTTCTTAATCAAATTATTCTTGACAACCCATTCCCATGTAGTTAATGATTGACCGAGATGACGTCTACCATTGCGAAAGAAAAAAGTTTCTTCAGTTGTGTAGTTATCAACAACTTTTTTACTTATTTTCGTAAAATGAGTGAGTTCGTTTAAAAATACATCAAATTTTCTTAGTTCAAAGCCACTACAAGATTTATTGACCGTTCCTTTGTACTAAATTTTTACAAAATTAAGTTAAAAATTAAAAATGTTGGTAATGTAAATAACTGATTTCAAAATTATAAATTATTTTCAAGTTAAATATAAATTGTTGGACATTTCAGATTTAAAATACGCAATGTAAATTTAAACAATGGAGTAAACTAAATAATAAAAGTAACAGATTAAGCTTCAAAATTATTAATTATAAGCTTCGATTATTTTTCTTTAAAAAATATCATATTTTATAGAGAGTCTGTAAAATTACTTTTTTTTATAGAGAGTCTGTAAAATTACTTTTTTTTATAGAGAGTCTGTAAAATTACTTTTTTTTACTGCGAATGTCTTTAGCTGTACAATAATTATCACAACTTTGATCATTTTTTTTTTAATTGACAAATTTTTGTGTTTATTTTCAAAAATAGAGTTATTTATTTAAAAAATAGAGTTATTTATCTAAAAATAGAGTTATTTATATAAAAAAAAAAAAAATATTTTTAAAACTATTTATTTTTAAAACTATTTTAAAACTATTTATATAAAAATAGAGTTATTTATCTTTTCTTCTTACTATTTTTTTAAGAATCGTAAGAAGAACAGAACAACAAAATCTTCCTCAAAGAAGTTTACTATGCAAACAACAAAATCTTCTTCAAAGAAGTTTACTATGCAAAGATTTTAGAGTTTCGCTTCGAAGTTTGCTGTGAAAAACATATTGTTTTTTTTTCAATATTGTCTATAAATTGGTTTGCAGCCATCTTACCAAACACTATATGAAAAATTTAAAAAATATTTTGAAAATTAAAAAAATAATAATAATTTTGATGAAAGTAAAAAAAATGTTTACTTATTATTAAAAAGTAATAATTACTGAAATTAAAGTAAACAAATTAAAAATAAAAGCTTTATATTAGTACCACATGTTGTTTTGAGTTGTCCATGCGTCTTTGTAAACTCTGCAACATTTTCTTCACCTCAAAATGTCTTTGTTTTAAATCAATTTTTTAAATGTCTCACTTGCTGAGTTTCATCTGAAACTTTACTAATGTTGACTTTACGTTTCTTTACTTTACCTTTTTGCTCGTTTCTTAAGCACCTCACATGCACTTCACAATGTTCAGAAAGTTGAAGACCGATGTCTTTAACTTTCTGAACATTGTAATAACTTTGATAATAGTTTTTTTTTTACTGCAAGTTGTAATTGCCTTTCCGTGTTAATTGTTTGTGTTTTAAATATGTTAAATACGAATCATTTTTGTTTTAAATAATTTTTAGATTGGTGTTTTTATATTTTAATTGATAATCAACTTATTTAGCCCCACATTTCTTAATCACAAGTGTGACCAACTAGCATGTTTTTGTTTTCCTCAAAAAACATTTCCTATGTTTTTTGCTCATAATTTAAGAGGAAGAGAATTTGAATGGTCGTAAAATTTATTACAAAACGTTTACTGTATTAGAATTTATTACAAAACGTTTACTGTATTAGAATTTACTTTTACTTTTGAGAGTTAGATCTTATTATTATTTTTTTTTTTATTAGGATAAGAAGTTTAAAGTTGGTAAAGGCAAAAATAAGTTTAAAAAAATATAACAATTTTTACGAATTAATTCAGAAAATTTTTTAAAATATGGTCGGCACACCTTCATAAGATTTTTTATATTAGCTTCTAATGAATACAAAAGAAATAATATTGTTAAATTGTTAAATCATTCACTTTTTCATTTCATTTACTTTTCCCCATTTCAGTCTATATACTTTATATTTACGTATATTATTTTGAACCCATAAATTTTTTAAATCTGTAATGCCCCAGTGGGCACCGGACCAAAAAAAGACGTCTTTTGAACGTTCAGAAGACGTTCAAAACGTTTAGAAGACGTTTTAAATACGTCTCTTTTACGTCCGTACCCACTGGGGCTGTTTTACTTCTAAAAAAAATAAATTACTATTTTATTGTTATTATAATAAAAATATATGAAGCATTGATTTATTGCCGCTTTAAATCAATTTTAATATATAAATATTATACATTAATCAAATGAATATGTTATTACCATTTTGAATTCATCTTTTTTACTGGGAATAATAAGTACGAATGTGTGAGTTGAGCCAACAATGTTTTCTTGAAAATATTGTTTTTTTGCGGTTTCTTGTCTTATTGTACCATGTAAATCTTCAATGTAACTTCCTTGCGGATGTTGAGTTTCTTGAAAGCCTTTATAATGCAAAACAAACGAGCTAATCATAGACGGTGGAATGCTATAATTGGAACATATGTTTTTTGTTTGACACGGGTTATTTATGTAGCATGAACACCTGGTACCTGGTTGACAATCTACGTACGTTGATGTTCCGTTATTTAAACAATTATAATAACCACTAAGGGTATCACTGCAGTATACTCCTGGAGGACCATCTTGACAATCAAAACAACTGTATACACTAAAATACAGAAAACCGAGGACAAAAAAAGACATAGTTTTCATAAGATTAATTAATTCGATGCACTTATCAATACAAAAACTGAACATCTGCATATTTTGACATCTTTTACATTTATAACAATACGATCATCAACTGCGTCATCACATTTATGTAATTTTAAAACCATTTCTGCGTCATTACATTTATGTAATTTTAAAACCATTTCTTAATTCAAATTTGTTTTAGGTAAAAATAAGGTTTTAAAAACGAATTAAGTTAATAGCTAATTAAGTTAATAACAAAATAAGTTAATAAATATGTCATCATAGTTGTTAGATATTTATTTATTGTTGATTTGTGTCGCGTCACGAATCCGAACCACTGTCTCTGCATGTCTGTTAACCATACTAATATCCATGTTTCTAAATTTAAAATATTCGTGTTAGACGATCTAATTACCATTTTATTATCAGTATTAACAAAAAACCGCTTTTTTATCAACTATTTTTTTCCAGTATATAATTTTCTCAAGCTCGTCTAGCATTAGAAATGAGCCTGAGTAGCAACTAGAAAAATTATATGTTTAAATTTAAAAATTCTTTCATTTCTCTTTTCAAATTAACATTCATAGGTAAGATTAGAAAGATAAAATTAACTCTAATAATATACAACTTTTATTTCTTATATTGTGAAAATTTTTTGTTTTCAATTTAAACAATTTTTTTTATTTTTAAATTTTTAAAAATAAAATATTGCATAGATAACTCAAAAAATTTGAGTTATCTATGCAATATAAAAGAATTATCATTAAATTATTTAAGTGTATTTCTCAACCAAAATTTACATGAAGAGAATCTATAACCACATAAATAATCTTTACTACGGTAAAATCTCAAAGATTATTGGCCTACTTTATGAAGCAAAATCAATTTGTGTAAAATTTTTATTTTATTTGAAATAAATTCAAAACATTTTTTTCATTAAATGCAATTATAATTATGAGAACATTGCTAGGTGCAAAGTTAACAAATTATAAAAACTTTATCATGAAATAAATCATAGTTATATTCCACGTAATCCGTTTTTCACATTTCTAACCCGAACTAAACATAATGAATATTTAGCAAATTAGTATTTATTATATTCTAATATTTAAGTTGAAAATTATTAAATTTAAAATTCCTAAATTTTGTTAAGCCATCAAGTTTAATATTTAATATTTAAATAATTCTAATACATAAAATTTCTGTTTGTTATTGCTTGTTTAACCATCAGTTACTCAAAAACTATCAGTTCTATCTATCACACTATCAGTTACTCAAAAACTCATCTAATGATGATTCATAGTTTATGAGCTAATGATGATTCATCATGAATTATCTAATGATGATTCACCATGAATCATCTAATGATGACCATGAATCATGATTCAGGATTGATGAATAATGATATTCATCATAGATTGTAATGATAAATCAACTAAGATTAGATCATAATAATAAATCGACTACACTAATGATCATAATGATATTTATCATAAATTCATGAACAATGCTAACGAATTCATGAATCATCTAATGAGACCATGAATCATCTAATGATGATTCATGGTCAAAAATTATCAGTTCTATAACTATCAGACTACCAGTTACTGCGACCGTGGCGCAGTGGTTAAAGCGCTTATTTTATAAGCAGGAAATCCAGGTTCGAAACGAGCTCTAGACATATTTTTGCGTTACGGTAATGAAGGAGGCGTGAACTTCCTCGTTAAATGCACTTCCGCGGTGCTCTGTGACAAGACCTTTAGGTCTTCTTGGGGCACCTAAATAACAAAATAAAAAGAAATAAAAATAAAAATTACTTAAAAACTCATCTAATGATGATTCATGGTTTTGTAAGAATTGTTTAAACTTCATGGTTTTGTAAGAATTGTTTCAACTTCATGGTTTTGTAAGAAATATTTGAACTCTATATTTTCATTCAACAACGAATATTCTATAAATAGTGGCTAAAATAGCATTAAGAAAAAAGTTGTTTGTTACTCTTTAAAAAGTCTCAAATCTATTACTTATACCTATAATAATCTTTTGAGTGAAGCTGATCATAAAATAAAATCAGCATTTAATAGCTTTTACACTGATATCAGTGGTTTAAGTCATCTTTCTAATGATAAAAATTCTTTTAAACTTATTCACCTAAATATTGCTTCCCTCTCAAAGCACATTAATGACTTAGAACACTTATTAAAATTGACTGTTATAAACATACACCCAATCAAGAATCACACACACATATATATATATATATATATATATATATATATATATATATATATATATATATATATATATATATATATATTAGGAGCGGATCCAGAGTGTAGCAAGTAAAGCATTTACTACAGTCAACTCGGAATACATTTATTATTATTTTCTACGCAAATATATATATATATATATATATATATATATATATATATATATATATATATATATATATATATATATATTATGCAAAATAGTAGAGAAATTATAGATCAAATTTTGGCCGTTGTTGTAGCTTAACTAATTTTAAGTGCATTTATAATATTTAATACCCTGTGCATTTATAATATTGAATACTTATTAGTATCATCTTTTTATTAACAAGGAGGTCTTATATAAGAACTAAAAGTCAACAACCGAGAACCTGTAGCAAGGGTAGCAAAAAACCATAATTTTATTTGGTAAATTAATATTACTATACTAGCAATCCGCACCCGTAAAATACGGGTCTTTGTAAATCTATTCCACACCAACCTTTGCTATACATATTCCTTACTTCAATATTTTTTAGTTGGCGGCAGAAAAAATAATTATATTCATATACAAAAACTATATTCATTATTTACTTTTTAAAGCTTTGAACAAAAAAAAAAGTTTAATTAACATTAAAAAAATGTTAGACATTTCGGTAGCCGTTACGCGAATCGCTATTTATCAACTAATTAAATATCAGTAGCTGTCTAAATAACATTTAGAATATCTGCTTAAATGTCTCTATTAATTACCCTCGGTTTAGTAAATTTAAAAAAACATGAGATGACTTAAATATGTGGAATAACGGACTTACCATGACCTGTATTCTGGTCATTCTTAGTCTATTCCACTTCAAGCATTTTAATAATTTCGCTTGATTTCAATAATTTTAAAAAAAGAGTAAAATATAAAAAACTTTGTTTTGAGTTAACGATTTATGTTTATTACTTTAACTTCTATAAAAACAAAGAACAAAAAAAAAAAGCGGGAAGCGGCTTGATTATTTTTTTCTTTAATAAGTTTCTATTAATTTTTTTTCAGACCATCTACACCTTTTCAAGATGTAATTTAGAAAACAAAAATTGTAATTAAGAATCGTAAGATGTAATTGAGAAAACAAAAGTTGTAATTAAGAAACGTAAGATGTAATTGAGAAAACGTAAGTTGTAATTAAGAAACATAAGATGTAATTTAGAAAACGAAAATTGTAATTAAGAATCGTAACATGTATACATGTTGCGATTTTTTCTGAAACCATTTCTTACCATTTTTTTTAAGCGCCATTTTACACTTACTCCTTTAAAGCGATATCTAAGTTAAAATTTTCGTGTTCTCAATTACATCTTTTCTTATTTCTTAATTACAACTTACATTTTCTCAATTACATGTAATTGAGAAAATGTAATTTTAACTTAGATATCGCTTTAAAGGAGTAAGTGTAAAATGGCGCTTAAAAAAAATGGCGCGTAAAAAAATGGAGCGTATAAAATGACGCACTTAAAAATGACGCAAGATTTGTAGCGTAAATTTAATTTTTTAGGGAAAAATTTAGGGAAAAATTTAGGGAAAAATTTATAATTTTTGGGCAAATGAATTTAACATAATAAACACTAAAAACATTTTAGGGAAAAATTTATAATTCAATTAAAAATTATAATTAAAAATTATATAATTAAAAATCACTTCATTAATCATTTAAGCACCAACTTGTACGTCTTCCATATTTAAAATAGTTGCATAGTGCGTGGTTGTGTGTTGTACCGCATGTGCACAATCTCCTCCCATTATAGTATTTTTCGCCTCAATTACAATTCGTTCTAAGTACTGCATGCGCTGTTCCGCAATCCCGTCACCTAATACAGGTGGAATGCCAATTGCATTTTTAACGTTACTTTTAATTTTGGACCAGATCGTTTCCACCGGGTTCAACATTGGACTGTAAGGTCCCAAACGTAACAACTGAGCTGGTGAATTATGAAACACCCTTTGCAAACGAGCGTGACAAGGAGCATTATCTGTTACGACGACCAAATCCTCCAAACGATTCCCGGATGTAACCCACTGGTGAAACATAGCCAACATCCACTCGTTACAGGAATCTGCTTAAAATGATCCCCTGCGAGTTTCTATCATGACGACATTTGTAGTTGAAATAGCTGCGATCAAGTGTATGTTTAAACCTTTTGAAGCAGGTACTTTCATAATTGCTCTTTTTCCTTGTCTCACGCGTCCTTGCGTTTTTCTACAAAAAAGGTTAAAATTTGTTTCATCCAACCAAAAAATTTGTTTCATCCAATCTGACGACCATTTGTGATATGTTCGTTGATGTTTCTAACATATTCAGCTCTTTTTTGTTTGTTTTCATAACTGTTCATTTTAGAAGGCTCCTTGTGCACTTTTTTTAATGAGAACAATCTGCCTTCGAGGTAATTTGCTATTGTTGTTGTGCTAACGTTTATGTTAAATTGTCTTAATATCTTTGTTTTGATGGCCACCAATGTTAATTGACAATCATTTTCAATCCATGTTAATGTTTCTTCGATTTGATCTTCGGTCAACTTTTTCGGTTTAAAACCTCCTTTTCCGATGAAATTTGAATTTCCGCTGCGAACCCAATTGTATGCTGTCTTATATTTGATACCTAGCGTTTGCGCGAGATTCACCCAATCTTCAAATCGCTCCGCACATTCAACAACTCTTCTCCTGTCATTTGGAGAAGATAAAACGTAACGTTTCCTTTCAACTTGTTCAGTTGTGTGTATTTCATGCCGACAAATCGGACAACTTGAATCTGGTT